AAGAGGGTGAGTTTAGGCTATTACCAACTTACACTATATTTATTAAGAACATCTAGAATGGTCATGGAGCTCATGAAGATGGTCAAGACACTGGTGTACCCAATCTATTTCTACTTTATTACTTCCCTGTGAAATTGACAGAGCATATTTCTGACACTAACTGGCCGCTGTCCTTGGGAGGCTGAGTCAGGATCATTTGAGCACAGGAGTTCAAGGTCAGGCAACATGAGACCCATCTCAAAAAAACCTCCAAAACCAAATAAACCAAAGTAACTGACATCTCTGTGGTGAGAAAATAAAGGCTACCCAGTCAAGACCATAGAGGTTATTTATTGCAAGAGTTTTGCCAAAGTTAGTGATATTTGAGGGGTAATATATGCATACAAAAAGTTGAAAGTTTTCATTTACTGAAAAATTTTAGATCATACGTATGTGTATTTCTATCTCTAGTATCCTTCAAGTTTTTCTGATATATCCAACTTTAAATGTTTAAAAATATCTATTCTGTCCTGAATGTTTTTAATGATGATAGCAAACATTTGCTATACTATGGACACACTGTAGAATACTGGGCAAATGTCAGTCATCTCTGTCATTTTTCAAACCCTGTGCAGTAGATATTACTAACAGTATTTTATTTTTGAGAATTAAGAAACGTGTCCAAAGTGAGATTGCTGATGGAGTGAGCCGGAATTCAAATGCAGGTGCTTTCCTCTAGCCTTTTGTAAGTTTTGTATGTTTTATTTGTATGTGTGTGTACTTGTGTAGTATTATCTATAATCTTTAAATTTTACTGTTAGGCTACAAAGCTGTTTCACTGAATGAATATACTACCTCACACCTTATTAAACAGCATACACATAAACTATAATCATTAGGTTTAGGGTTAGTAGTGTCGTATTGTACCACACAACAACGGTGCTCTGAATTCATTCAGCTTTGTGAGGCAATTTACCCTATACAAAATGGCTTTGTGCTGCTATTTTAAAATTCATTTTGTCCCTTTCATTGTTATTCTCTGCTATCTATTACCCTACCACTGTTTTACATTCCATCTCCTAATTTTCCTGTGTCCAAGTAAACTCAACAACATTCATTTTGAGTTTTATACTTGAAGATGAAATGTAACTGAGTTGTACTTAAGGGTCTGTGATAGACCTTATTTATTAGTTTAGTTCTAGCCCATGAGCCTCCTCCTTACTTCTTTCCTGTATCTGCTGGGTAGTCAAGGTTAAGTGACTCTTTGCTTCAATGTGTCAAAGGGTATAAATGAATACAGTATTTCTTGCATACATGGGCATTTTGTATTTGAATTTATGAAGTCTTGAAGGAGCACTGTTGTTCCATGTTTGGTGAAAGTTAGACACATTCTGATGTTTTGTTCTTAGAAATTGACTGTTCATTATAGCCAGAACTATTTCACCTTGACATTAGAGATCCTGACAATGTACTTATGAGAACATCTTGTTCTTGAAAATTGGACCTGTCCTTTTTTTCACAACCGAAATATACTGATAGCATATTATCTGTTACATGGATGAGCTTGTCAACATCAGGCACAGTGGGAAAACATCATCTATGAAGTGAATTTTCTGTTCATCACAGCCTTAGTCATCCTTAACATTTTTGAATGTGCTTTTCTGTATGTTAATTTTTCTGGTTAAGGCACCCAAAAGAGTATTATGAACATGTCAAATTTAAATTGTTTTTCTTTTGTGTTAACATAGAAAGTTTTGTGGTTTATATGTCTTTGAGTTACTGAATTTACATATGTGATTGGAAGTGGGCTGTTATTCTTGTATCATGATTATTTTTTTCCTTTTATATTCAAAGTAGGCCCAGGATTTGTTTCAGAATTTTCTCAGCCTAAAATTCTGTCTTAACAAGTTTAGAAGTATTGTGATAGTATACAGATAGTACATTCTAAACTTTCTTCTTTGTCGTACTGTATAGGTATTTCAGGTATTGAATGAGAAGAAACAGATATATGCCATAAAGTATGTGAACTTTAGCATAGGGGAGAAATGACCCAAGCCTTGTATGCACATACGAATAATAAAACAATAATAAAAAAAAAGAAATAGATGGAAGTACTTCTGCCCTTCTGTGGGGATTTACCTGCCCCGTATAGCCAATGGGCCACAATAGCAGAGCTTTTCTTCTTAGATTTCACTAAGTACAGGCAACGGATCAAAAAAAAAAAAAAAGTATGTGAACTTAGAAGAAGCAGATAACCAAACTATCGATAGGTACCGGAATGAAATAGCATATTTAAATAAACTACAACAACACAGTGATAAGATCATCCGACTTTATGATTAGTAAGAATTCTTTTTTCAATTAAAAAAATTTTTTTTGCTATAGTTCTTCAAGTAAGTGTTAAGTAAATCTTAATATAACCTAGCTATTTGTTGTTTTGTTTGGTTTTAATTGCAGTGAAATCATGGACCAGTATATCTACATGGTAATGGAATGTGGAAATACTGACTTGAATAGTTGGCTTAAAAAGAAAAAATCCATCAATCCATGGGAACGCAAGAGTTACTGGAAAAATATGTTGGAAGCAGTACACACAATCCATCAACATGGTATTAAAATCTCTTCCTGTGGGTAAAGTTAAAATATTTGTTAAGGGCTATAGGCTTGGCTTAAGCAGTAAAGCACCTGCCTAGCAAGCATGAAGCCCTGAGTTCAAAGCCTAGCACTACCAAAAAAAGTTGTTGTTAATGTCATCTTAGAAAAATACACTTATTATTTTATTGGTATCTTTAGCTAGGTGAACTAAATAATTGGAAGTATTTTTAAAGATGAGGAAACGAAGCCATTTCTTAATACTGTTAACCCAAAGGGTATAGTACATGAACTCAAATTCCTGCATTCGTAATGGAAAAAAGCATCTTTCTCAGTATTAATGTAGTCTGTGGTCCTTATCTTCAAATATTTTGGATTTTAGTATATCTGAGACTTTTGGGTTCAATTATCCTAAAAATATGAGATGTTTATTTCCCTCTTTCTCCTAATGATTTTGCATTATGTGCCCTTTGTGAAAGTTGGTTTATTTTTTTACCGTTAGCCTCAGGCTTTTATTTTAACATGTTCTTTTTTTCATTTTAGAGCTTTCTCTGCCTTTCCCCTATCTTTAGAACAAAACTCTTTAATCTAGATGATTGTAATTTATCTCCCCCTGAATAAGTTTTCTTTACAAGTTAAAAGATAATTTATTAGTGATTACCATTAGTGCTGTAGGAAGTGTCTTTACATCTGGCAGTATAATTTACAATGCTCTGTACTGGAGAGAGATCCACAGTGGTTAAAGATAGATTGAAGCCAGACTGCTTGCCCTCAACTCATGACATTGTCACTTAGGCCTTGTGACCTTGAATGGTTTACTTAAACTCTCATTGCCTTAGTTTCCTCACCTGAAAGTGGGGATGATAATAGTGGTATTTCCTTAGCATTGTTTTTGAGGATTAAATGACTCATTAAAAGCAGCAAACTTAGATTGTACCTTGCATGTAACACATGCTAAGAAAGTACAGACCTTATGAGAAAGGGATATTTAATTGGGTTGACTAACTGAAAGAACCAACTACAGATTGTAAATTTTACATTGTCTCATAATGGATTTTTTATTTTGAAGGCATTGTTCATAGTGATCTGAAGCCTGCTAACTTTTTAATAGTTGATGGAATGCTAAAACTAATTGATTTTGGGATTGCAAACCAAATGCAGCCAGATACGACAAGCATTGTTAAGGACTCTCAGGTAGGACATCTAGCGAATAGTTGGTTGTTTGCTACCTGGTATTATTTATATCACCTCATTCTCCAAAGAATTTAGAGTCTTTTTATAAGAATAGGTACTAAAACCATAAAAAATTTCAAAACCATGGTCAATATGATTTAGAAAAGTAAGACAAGATTGTATAGAAATATATCTAGCAATTTTGAGTAATTTTCCTACAACTGAGGTAAAGAAGCAGTAATACCTGTCTTGGTAATCATTTTGTTCATGTTCTAAAATTGACCTGACAGTTGACTTTGGGTTTCCTGGTAGCAATCAGAGAGAGAATTGGAGTAACATGTTTTCCATTGTCGTCCATGAGGTGAGGTCATTTCAATTTAAGAGGGCTTTCATATTGGAAATGCCATAATTACTATTGTTTCCAACAGCACTTTTGTAATAGGATATGCAATAGCAAATGTAATTAAGTTGTTCAATAAAAGCTAAAATAATGATAGCAAAGCATAACTAAAAGAATCTTGCTTGGAGATGACATGATGTGTCCATGTATGCTCATTTCTGTTGTAGATCTCCCTGAATTCTGGGAGCAGAACTGGGCTTTGATAAAAGGAATAGATGGGCAGCATGCCCGTAAAACAATTCTATCTGACAGTCATTACTTAATGTCAAAACTGGCTGAACATTGAGTTGTAAATCGGCTTGAAGATACCTTCTATAGCAAGCCCTAAGCTATGGGTAATTTGTGTTGAAGGCAGAGCCATTTATGTTAGAATCAAAGGTACAGTGCAATGTTGGCACCATCCAATTGTAGAGACTGTTGCATGACTTAGAAGTCCACTCTATCTCAGTTTGCACATGGGCCTAGAGTCCCAGGATACCAAGCTAGATGTTTTTGTTGTTTGTTTACATATGAGTTTGTTGGTTTATTAAAGGGGAGTAACATGTTGAGTCTATTCAAGCATAGAAGAGAAAGTGATACTCCAATTCCTTAAAGCTTATTACCATTTATAGAATTTTAGCCTGGACAGTTTTTAAGGCAGATATGTTTTAAGGCACAGTACTCTGAAAGGAGTCAGTCTTCTGCTTCTGAACCCAATTCCTTTTGCTGAAGTTGGGAAGTTATTTGAATTTTTCAAGTTTATCGCTTAAATTTATAAGTATCCTAAGTCTCTAAGGATCTGGCATTTGTACTTTTAAAAAACCTGAAGCAGAATGAAATATTTTCATTGATTGACGTTTTCTGTGATTTGGCAAATAGGTTGGCACAGTTAATTACATGCCACCAGAAGCAATCAAAGATATGTCATCCCGAAGAGAGAATGGGAAATCCAAGTCAAAGGTACTGTATTGGGAATTTTACAAAAGTGACTTGGAGTAAAAACATCATTCTTTTGAGTGAATGTCTAGAATGGAACTTCTGTAATATGATGTGGTCTGGAAAGTATCAAAGAAAACCTGCTTTAAAAAAATTCATCATTATTTTTTATAGTGTTGTTTAATAAGGGACCCTAAACAGAGGATATCCATTCCTGAGCTCCTGGTACATCCATATGTCCAAATTCAAATTCATGCAGGTACTGCTTCTTTAAAAATTGCTCATTACTAGGTTCCTATGAACAGCCTATTAACTGTAACAAAACTAGAATCTAAATTGGCTACTCTTTTTGCTGCCTGCCCTCTTGCCAAACAGTAATGTAAATAAAAATGTCTGTCTTCATTGATGTCATTCAGTTTTAATTATCCTGCATAGGGGACAGTGATTGGTAGTAAATTATAAGAATGCCATTTATTGTGTTGTTAAGCAGAGTATATATTTTTGTTGCTTTATTTTTTGTTTTGAGACAGGATCTCACTTTTATGTATCCCAGGCTGGCCTCAACTCAAACTAATTATTTGCCTCTCTAAGTTGCTGGAGTATGTGCTTTTAATTGAATTTATATGTTTATTAGTATCACTGTGTTGATATTGTATATTTTATAGGTAACCAGATAGCTAAGGGAACCACTGATGAAATGAAATATGTCCTGGGTCAACTTGTTGGTCTGAATTCTCCTAACTCTATTTTTTTTTTTTTAAAGGTACTGGGGTTTGAACTCAGGATCTTTTGCTTGCTAGGCAGGCACTCAAACCATTGAGCCATACCTCCAGCCCCTCTCCTAACTCTATTTTGAAAGCTGCTAAAGTAAGTATGTGTGTTCTCTGTGTTAATTAACTATTTTAATATAGCTTAATGAGTTACACCCTTAGAGAAACAGGTAACCCAAAGGAAAGTTGGGCCAGCGGTCTTGAAGTCTTTATTTCTGCACTTAGGTATTTAACACATCCTATTTGACAAGTACCTATCTTTTTTATTTATTTATTTTTTTGGCAGGAGATGGGGGACACACAGTCTGGGGTTTGAGCTTGAGGGCCTCACTCTTACTAGTTAGGCAATGAGCCATGCCCCCAGCCCTTTTTTGCTTTCTTTATCTTTCTAAGAAGTTCTTGTTTTTATGCCTGTGTGTGCCTGGACTGCTCTCCTCCTATTTATACTTCCCGAGTAACTGGAATGGCAGCATTGTGCCACCACACACAGCTTTTTATTGGTTGAGATGTGGTCTCGCTAGCCCACGCATGCTTCAAACCACAGACTTCCTGATCTCCACCTCCCAAGAAGCTAGGATTATAAGCGTGAGCCGCCATGCCTGGCTTGATTCCTGTTCTGTGCATATAGCACAGGCCAGAGTGGGTTTTCAAAACAGGTACATTCAAAGGATTACTGTCAGGCCTCAATTGAATAAATTTAGTATAGCACGTTATCTTTTAAATCATTCTCAACACGATTCTTAACACGGCTTTTGAATTCATTCCTTCTAGCCAATTTCTTATTAAACTTTAGAGATACAATAGTATTTGTAGCGCTTCTGTAAAGCTGTGCATAGCCATCAGCACAGGCCTCAGGCTTTCAGACTCCCATTACCTATTTGTGTCTGCACTATTCTTTTTGTCTTTCACTGTCTCAAATACCTAGTCATTTCTAGAATATTGTGAAAATTCATCGATCAACTGGTTTAGCTGCCAAGAGAGTACTAATGATATATTTCAGTTACAAGACTATTATAAAATTATGGAAGCGTGAATTAACATTCTTATGTCTATGGCTCAGTCTACGTTACTAAGAGCCTGGACACACTTCTGAATGAAATATTACATTTGCATTCAAATAAGGTAAAATTTTTCTTAAACTTTCTCAAGTGCTTCTGGCTGAATCAGTGGCTTTAGGAATTAAGATTGGGCACATTGTGTTTTTTAATTGCTTTGTATTTTATATGTCCACGTTTAAAATTCATACTAATGTATTGCTCAAAACTTTTATAAATAAAATTGAGATGATTAGTCACCTTTATCACTGAAAGGCAAAAATGTCATTTTCATAAAGTAGATGTTAGCTAAGCCTTCAATCTTTTTTTAATACATTGACTTCAATATATAGTTGGCCTTTTGTATCCATGAGTTCCACATCCATAGATTAAATAAAGTGCAATTCAAAAATATGCATGAGTAAAGAACATATATAAACTTGCTTCTTATTACTCCATAAAAAATACAGCATAACAATGATTTATATCATGTTCACATCGTATTAGTTGTTATCAGTGATCTAGAGATAATTTAAAGTATACAGGAGGATATACATACGCACATGCAAATAGTGTGCACTTTACAGAAGAGACTAGAACATTTACATTTTGGAATCTGTGGGGTGAGGATTTTGCAACCAGTCCCCCAGAGATACCAAGAACGACTGTACCTAATTATACTTGTTTACATCATTATTTACTACTGGTTTGTGTGTGTGCGGGTGTGCGTGTACGTGTGCACGTGTGCATGTGTGTGTATTCTGTGATGTGTGTATGTGTGATGTGTGTGCATGTGTGTGACGGGTGTATATATGTATGTGTGTCTATGTATGTGTGTGGTGTATGTGTGTAATGTGTGTATGTGTATTGTGTGTGTGTGTATGTGTTTGTGATGTGTATGTTTGTATGTATGTGTGTGTATGTATGGGTGTGTCTGTGTGTGGTGTATGTATGTGTGGTGTGTGTCTGTGTATGTGTGTGTATTGTATGTGCATGTGTGGTGTGTGTATTGTGTGTATGTGTGTGTGTGTGGTGCATGTGTATTGTGTGTGGCGTGTGTACATGTGTGTATGTGTGTGTCTGGTGTGTGTATGTGTGGTGTGTGTGTGTAGTGTGTGTATGTGTGTGGTGTGTGTGTAGGTTTTTTGTGTAGTGTGTGGTGTGTGTATTGTGTGTGTGGTGTGTGGTGGGTGTATTGTGTGTGTGTGTGTATGTCTGTGTATGTGTGTTTATGTCTGTGTGGTGTGTGTGATTTGTGTGGATGTATGTGTGTGTGATTTTTGTGTGTATTGTGTGTAGGTGGTGCGTGTGTATTCTGTGTGGTGTGTATGTGTGTGGTGTATTTGTGTATGTGTTGGGGTGTGTGTATTGTATGTGTGTATATCTGTGTGGTGTGTATGTGTATAGGTGTGTGTATTGTATGAGTGGTGTGTATTGTGTGTACGTCTGTGGTTTGTATATATGTTATGTGTGTGTATGTATGTGTCATGTATGTGTGTGGTGAGTGTATTGTGTGTTTGTGGTGTGTATGTACGTGTGTGATGTGTGTGTAGGTGGTGTGTGTATTGTATGTGTGGGTTGTGTGTGGTGTGTATGTGTGTATGTGGTGTGTGTATGTGTAGTGTGTGTATGTATCTGTTTGTGGTGTGTATGTGTGTATGTATGTATTTGTGTTGTATGTATGGGTGTGTGTGTGGCGTGTGTGTCTCTGTATGTTTATGTGTATGTGTTTGTGTGTGTGTGTGGTGTGTATGTATGCATATGTGTATGTATATGTGTGTGTGTGTGGTGTGCCTCGTGTGTGCTTTTGTGCAGTGTGTGTGTGTATGTGTGTGTGGGTGTATTAAGTGTGTATACTTCTGGGGTGTGTGTATGTGTGTACGTAGTGTGTGTTTGTATTGTGTGTATGTGTGTGTTGTGTGTGTATTGTGTGTATATGTGTGGGTGTGTGGATTGTGTGTATGTGTGTGTGGTGTTTGTATGTGTGGGGTGTGTGTGGTGTGCATGTATTGTATGTATGCGTGATGGTGTGTGTATTTTGTGTATGTATGTGTGTGGTGCGTTTGTATTGTGTGTATGTGTGAGGTGTATGTGTGGGGGTGTGTGGTGTGTGTATTTTGTGTATGTATGTGTGGTGTCTGTGTATTGTGTGTGTGGTGTGTGGATGTGTGTAGTGTGTGTGGTGTGTGTGGTATATGTGTGTGTGGTTGGTGTATGTGTGTGGTGGGTGTATTGTGTATGTGTGTGTATGTCCATGTGGTGTGTGTGTATGTGTAGTGTGTGTATGTATCTGTTTGTGGTGTGTATGTGTGTATGTATGTATTTGTGTTGTATGTATGGGTGTGTTTGTGGCGTGTGTGTCTCTGTATGTTTATGTGTATGTGTTTGTGTGTGTGTGTGTGTGGTGTGTCTCGTGTGTGCTTTTGTGCAGTGTGTGTGTATGTGTGTGTGGGTGTATTAAATGTGTATACTTCTGGGGTGTGTGTATGTGTGTACGTAGTGTGTGTTTGTATTGTGTGTATGTGTGTACGTAGTGTGTGTGTATTGTGTGTATGTGTGTGTTGTGTGTGTATTGTGTGTGGGGTGTATGTGTGTAGGTAGTGTGTGTATTGTGTGTATTGTGTGGAGTGTGTTTAGTGTGTGTGTGTATGTGTATTGTGTGTATATGTGTGGGTGTGTGGATTGTGTGTATTGTATGTGTGGGTTGTGTGTGGTGTGTATGTGTGTATGTGGTGTGTGTGTATGTGTAGTGTGTGATTGTATCTGTTTGTGGTGTGTATGTCTGTATGTATGTATTTGTGTGTGTATGTATGGGTGTATGTGTGGTGTGTGTGTCTGTGTATGTTTATGTGTATGTGTGTGTGTGTGTGGTGTGTATGTATGCATATGTGTATGTATATGTGTGTGTGTGGTGTGTCTCGTGTGTGCTTTTGTGCAGTGTGTGTGTGTATGTGTGTGTGGGTGTATTACATGTGTATACTTCTGGGGTGTGTGTATGTGTGTAAGTAGTGTGTGTTTGTATTGTGTGTATGTGTGTACGTAGTGTGTGTGTATTGTGTGTATGTGTGTGTTGTGTGTGTATTGTGTGTGGGGTGTATGTGTGTAGGTAGTGTGTGTGTATTGTGTGTATTGTGTGGAGTGTGTTTATTGTGTGTGTGTGTATGTGTATTGTGTGTATATGTGTGGGTGTGTGGATTGTGTGTATGTGTGTGTGGTGTTTGTATGTGTGGGGTGTGTGTGGTGCGCATGTATTGTATGTATGCGTGATGGTGTGTGTATTTTGTGTATGTATGTGTGTGGTGTGTTTGTATTGTGTGTATGTGTGAGGTGTATGTGTGGGGGTGTGTGGTGTGTGTATTTTGTGTATGTATGTGTGGTGTCTGTGTATTGTGTGTGTGGTGTGTGGATGTGTGTAGTGTGTGTGGTGTGTGTGGTATATGTGTGTGTGGTTGGTGTATGTGTGTGGTGGGTGTATTGTGTATGTCTGTGTGGTGTGTGTGTATTGTGTGTGTAGTGTGTCTGTGTAAGTGTGTGTGTGTGTTTGTACTTGTGCATGTGTGTGTATATTCATGTGTGTGTGTGTGTGGTTTGTATATATGTTTATGTGTGTGTATGTATGCGTCATGTATGTGTGTGGTGAGTGTATTGTGTGTTTGTGGTGTATATGTACATGTGTGATGTATGTGTAGGTGGTGTGTGTATTGTATGTGTGGGTTGTGTGTGGTGTGTATGTGTGTATGTGGTGTGTGTGTATGTGTAGTGTGTGTATGTATCTGTTTGTGGTGTGTATGTGTGTATGTATGTATTTGTGTTGTATGTATGGGTGTGTGTGTGGCGTGTGTGTCTCTGTATGTTTATGTGTATGTGTTTGTGTGTGTGTGTGTGTGGTGTGTATGTATGCATATGTGTATGTATATGTGTGTGTGTGTGGTGTGCCTCGTGTGTGCTTTTGTGCAGTGTGTGTGTGTATGTGTGTGTGGGTGTATTAAGTGTGTATACTTCTGGGGTGTGTGTATGTGTGTACGTAGTGTGTGTTTGTATTGTGTGTATGTGTGTGTTGTGTGTGTATTGTGTGTATATGTGTGGGTGTGTGGATTGTGTGTATGTGTGTGTGGTGTTTGTATGTGTGGGGTGTGTGTGGTGTGCATGTATTGTATGTATGCGTGATGGTGTATTTTGTGTATGTATGTGTGTGGTGTGTTTGTATTGTGTGTATGTGTGAGGTGTATGTGTGGGGGTGTGTGGTGTGTGTATTTTGTGTATGTATGTGTGGTGTCTGTGTATTGTGTGTGTGGTGTGTGGATGTGTGTAGTGTGTGTGGTGTGTGTGGTATATGTGTGTGTGGTTGGTGTATGTGTGTGGTGGGTGTATTGTGTATGTGTGTGTATGTCCGTGTGGTGTGTGTGTGTTGTGTGTGTAGTGTGCCTGTGTAAGTGTGTGTGTGTTTGTACTTGTGCATGTGTGTGTATATTCATGTGTGTGTGAGGGTGAGTGTGTGTGTGTTTATGAGTGTGTGTATGGGTGTGTGTTGGCATCTGTGTATGTGTGTGTTTGTATGTGTGTATGCTTGTGAGTGTGTATTTGTGTGAGTCTATTTTCGAGTGAGAGTGAGTATGAATGTTGGTGAGAGTGAGAGTGGGTACATGTGTGATTGTATGTGCATATGTTTGTGAGTGTATATTTGTGTGTGTGAGTGTGTAAGAGGGTGTGTGTATGTGTGTTTGAGTGAGTGAGAGTGTGTGTAGGTGTGTGTGTTTGTGTATATGTGTGTGTGATTGCATGTGGTGTTGAGTGTGTGAGTGTGAGTGACTGTGTGTGAGTGTTTTGTTTGTGTGAGTTGGATTGTGAGTATGTGTTTAAATGTGTGTGTGAGTTGTGAGTGTGTGTATGTGTGTGATGTGTGTTAGTGGGTTGGCATCTGTGTTTGAGTATGGAATCAAATGCGTGTGAGTGTGTGTTTGTGTGTGACTGCGAGAAAGAGTAAATGTGTAAATGTGTGTAGGTGTATGAGTGTGAGTGTATATGTATGTGTAGGTGAGTGGGTGAGACTAAATGTGTGAGTGTGCGAGCGTGTGTGTTTCGTGTAGATGTGCATGTGTGGTTGTATGTGAGTGCATGTGTAGCTGAGTGTGAGTGTGTGTGTGTGTGTGTATGTGTGTGAATGTGTGAGTGCATCTGTGTGTACATGTGTATTTGAAGATGAGGTTCTATGTTCACGGGTGCGAGAGTTATTGTGAGTGTGTTAGAGTGTGACAGTGTGTATGTTGGTGTGTGCAGGTGTGTATGTGCAGGTGTGTGTAAGTGAGTGTGTGAGTGTGTTTGCATTTGAATGTGAGTGGGTATTTGGGTGCAGGTGTGTGAATGAGTGTGTATGTTAGTGTGTTCAGGTGTGTGTGTGTTTATGTGTGTGAGCGTATGTAGTGGGGGATATGTGGGTGAGTATGAGAGTGAATGTGTGTGTGTATTTGTATGTTATTGTGTTGGCTTGGGTGTATTGACGTTTGTGTGAGTATGCGTCTGTAAGTGTGAGTGTGATTTTGGGTGAGTGTGTGAATGTGAGTGTAGAGTCTGTGTGTGTTGATTGTGAGTTCACATGTGTGCATTAGTGTTTGTGTATATCTATGTGTTTGTGTGTTTGTATGTGTATGAATGTGTTTTTGTGTATGTGTCTGTGTACGTGTGTGTGAATTTGTGAATGTGTGCATGAGAGTGTGCATGTAGGTCTGTGTTTCTGTAGGTTTGTGTGTGTATATGTATATATGTGAATGTGTATGGGTGTGAGTGTATATGGGTACGTGTTGTGAGTGTGTGTGTATGAAAGTGTGTGGGAATGTGTACGTGTGAGTGTACGGAGGGTGTCAGTCTGTAAAGGTGTGCACAAATGTATGATTGCTGATGACTGTGAGTGTGACTGTGTATGTGCGTGTTTGTATGAGTGTGAAAGTGTGTAGGTGTGTATAGATGACAGTGTGTATATGTGTGAGTGTGTGACTGCATGTGTGTGTGTATGTACGTGAATGTGTGGTGTCTCAGTGTGAGTGAATGTGTGAGTCTGTGTGTGTGTATGTGTGTCTGAGTGTGTGAGTGTGAGTCTGTGTGTGCATGTGAGTGTGTTGGCTTGCATGTTGGTGTGTGTGTGCGATGTGGGTGAGTGGGTTGGCTTGTGTGTTAAGAGTATGGATTCAAATGTGTGAGTGTGTGCTTCTCTGTGTGTGTGTGTGAATGTATGTGTTTGAGTTTGAGTGTGAATGTGTACATGTGTGTGTGAGTGAGTGTGTGTGTGTCTTAGGGTCCTGGTCAACCAATTCTCTTCTCTGTTCCACTCATGGTTGTGTTTTAACTTACTGACCCATTTCTCTTCGTTTAGAGTTGCATTCATTTTTCTGGTTTGAATGTCCGGTAATTTTTTACATTAGATGCCAGATATTTTACTTCTAAAAATTCATTATTACTAGTGGTACTGGGGATTGAATTCAGGGTCTCAAACTTACTAGGCTAGTGCTCTACAACTCGAGCCACGCCCCCAGCCCCACGTATTTTAAATTTGACCCTGTTGAATCTTCTTGTACTTCTATAAATATTCCTGAGCTGTGTTCCGGCCTGTAGGTAAGTTGTGTAGAAACAGTCTGATTCTTTAAAGGTTTGCTTTCAGGTTTGTTAGTTTAGACCAGTGAAGGCTTTGGTCTTGCTTTAATTTTGCCTCACTACACTCAGTCCTCTGTATCTATGGGTACATATCCATGGATTCAATCCTCTGTGGATCTAAAATTTTTTAAAATTACATTTATAGTACACAGATTTTTTGTCATTATTCCCTAAATAATACAGTATAACTATATCCCGTTTGCATTGAATTAGGTAATCTATGGATGATTAAAAATAACAGGAGAACGTACAGAGATCACATGTAATTCTACGGCATTTTATGTAAAGCAGTTGCGCCACCAAGATCTGGGATCCTTGCTGATATCCAAAGCGGAGAGGACAGGGTCTCATGTTAGCTGGGGATGACAGGGTTCTAACGGAAGCCTGCAAGTTCACAGGTGACAGCTGTAGTTTCCTACACATATCCCCAAACCAACCGGTCTTACCATACAGCATGTCACAGATCATCTCCTCTCCTCTCGCAGATGAAGAGAAACCGCTGCTCTGCACTACAAAGCCACTTAGCAGCGCCGCCCTCCCTCCCCACCCGGACACCTGTCCCCTTCACTGGGACCCCCGGAGGGAGAGGGGCTGATAGAGCGAACTACGGCAGAGCAATCCCGGCGGAACCTGAGAATTTTGACACAGGGTAAGTAAGGTCTTGGCTTGACGAGGCAAGGAAGACTCAAGGGTGGTGCTTCCAGACAACAATGGGAGCCCAATGACAAAAGCACCGAGATTCCTGCGCGGACTGCAGGGCTGAGCCGCGAAACGTCTTTTCTCGCCACGCCCTCCCTAAGGCCCGCAGTGAGGGCGCTGGGGACCCAGCCGCGGGGTGGCGTGGGGGTGAAGGACCCACCACGCACTTGATGTGGTGAGCGGCTGTTCCCGCCCCGATGTTCATCTCCGCCGGGAGTGGCCACCCTCCTGGCAGAAATTGGGCCTGCTTAAACTGGAGGAGCAGGAAAGACAGCCGACTCGCGTCCGGGAAGCAGCTGCCGCGCTCCACCCAGCACCCTACCAGGGGCTACAGACGTGGGGTCAGGCTCCCGAACGCAGGAGGCGGGGAGGCGCCGACGCAAGGAACCAATCACCACAGACGCTCCCACGTGATTAACCTTGACCAATAGGAGGCCGCGGCGATAGCGGCGGAGCAACTCAAACGCGCTTACGAAGAGAGATGGGGGTTCCGTCTTTTCTTCTCTTCCGCTCGGCTTCCTGGAGGCGAGTATTGGCTCGCGGGCGCATCGAGGAGCGGCGGCGGCCGGTATGTGGGCTCTTTAGCAGCGAAGACCGGAGAGGGGTGGGGGCGAAGCGGGGCAGCACAGAGCTGCGTAGCCGACAGGGCGCGTCTACATGACCTGGCGGGGGAGGGAAGGTTCGCGGCTTCTGCGATCTAGAGGGTGGGGTGATGCCGCAGTAAGAAGCGCGTGTGGACCTCGCTGGAAAGAAGGCGCGGCGGGCACTGGCGCAGAAGATTTGTCTCCTAGGACAGACCCTCCTCTGCTGGCTTAAAATTGGGACAGGCGGTGGTGTCCTGACATTGGACTTTCAAACCTGATTTAAGGGGTGGGTGATAACTTGCTGCCTACTTTATCGCCCCTTTTTATTGTCAAGTTCCAGAACAGGTGACAGTGCAGGCAGTGATCCCGAGTGAATCTGTTGATGTTTGAGAATCACAAAGATGAGATGGACAGGAAGAAAGATTGTAGACACTTCGTTTACCTAACACCACCCACCATTATGCAGATGAGCACGTGCTCAGTACTGTAGTTGAGTTCTGTAGTAGAATGACTGAGGCAGTAGTTCGTTGATTCTGCCAAATCCACACAAGGACAAAGCTGCTGAATCTCAAGCATCAGTATACGTTCTGCTTTGAAAGTATTCATTGTGAAGCTTTACGCACATAAAGCAGATGACTAGAGCAGCAGTTAATTTCATTCCCAAAGGGATTCTTCCTGTCTATATGTTACTACCAGAATCCAGGCAAACACTGTATATATTTTAAATGATAAAATTTGCAGATGGCCCACAGGACATAATTCTGGAAAAAAGTGAAAGGAAGTTTAAAATGAGGGAGAAATTTTTGTGTTGTGCAGTGACTTCAGGATTGCAACTTTACAGAGGCCATTGGGAAGAAAAGGTAATTTTACCTATTGAAACCTTCCCGGACAGATTACAAAGCCATATAGATCCATTATGTTAGTCCACGTAGCTCCACTAAGACTTTTTAAGAAAGAGTTGCATTTAGATATGTTCCCCAAACTAATGCTTTATCTTCCAGAAAACTAGTTGCAACTTAGAAATGGAGGCTGAGGAGTTAAGTGGCAGAGAATTGACAATCGATTCCATAATGAGCAAAGTGAGAGATTTTAAAAATGAAGATCTTACTGATGAGCTAAGCTTGAATAAAGTCTCTGCTGATACTACAGGTAAGCTTTTTCTTTTTTCCTTTTATAATTCATTGCGATGCTGGGTATTGAACTCACGACCTCACACATGCTAAGCAAATGTTGTACTACTGCGCTATATCTCTAGCCTCTTGTTTTTAAAGAAGCAAAAACAAAAAAAGCAATTAACTTAAAGTGTCCTGTAAGGTATAAGGAAGTAGATGTTAACCTCTGTGTTAATATAATGTACATTTCTCAGTCGTTGATGCTTATCTACCAGAGTGCACTTTATTTGAACCTGTTTGTCTGGAACTAGTCCACAACTGTCTGCTTGTTTTAAAAAGATGAAACATCATCTGGACTTGGTGGCTCCCATCTGTCATCTCAGCACTTAGGATGCTGAGGCAGGAGGATCTCTAGTTCTCTTATTCAGCTGGGGCTGTACAGCAAGGTGAAGGCCAGCATGAGCACATAGTGAAACCCTGTCTCAAAACACAAAGAAAGAGAGAGAGGTAGGAAGGGAAAGGGCTGGGGAAGGGGGGTGGAGAAAGAGAGGGAAGAGGGCAGGGAAAGAAAGAAATGATCTTTCTTATTAGTGTGCTTACAGGTACTTTTCTTAGTACTTTCATTATTGTTAGCTATTTCCGCTGATATGCCTGCCATCAGTAGATACGCCTTCTTTTCCATTCCTTTTTTACTCTGAATGAGCACACGTTATCAATGTTAATATTACATATAAATTTAGCATCAAACACTGGATTTTTGATTTGAAGAATTGGTCTCTTTCTCCCCTGGCCCTTTTTTTTCTATCCTTTCTTACTCTCTGTTCCAGTTACAGTGGCTTTCCTGATGTCTCTTCTGTATCCTAGAGCAGCGCATGTCCCAATGCCTTTGCTGTTGACCTATGCCTTTATTTGTTTTGTTTTTAGCAGTACTGGGGTTTGAACTCTACATCTTGAGCCACTCCACAAGCCCTTTTCTGTGATGGGTTTTTTTTCAAGATAGGGTCTCACAAAGTGTTTGCCCTGGCTGGCTTCAAACCGCAATCTTCCTGATCTCTGACTCCTGACTAGCCAAGATTACAGGTGGGAGCTACTGGTGCCTGGCTTGAAGGGTTATTCTTGATGTTTCTACGGGTTGGGATTCCACAGAGAGAAAACTGACAGCTGCAAAAAGTCCTATAAATTCTGAAGGTCTAGATCAGGCTAGCTATGTGTTGGTGAGACCAGGAAATTATCAGGGCCTTTCAGAGAAATGTAGGTAACTTGGAGGAAGAAGAAAATAACTATCAGCTTCTAATCTTTTGTAAAGCTGGTTTTCTGTGGTGGTTTTGTAAGTAAATTTGAGGTATACTGAAAGAATGTTGACTGGGTAAGGCTGTAAAGAAAGTTAGGACCAGAGCAAGAAGTTTTTGAGTTTTTCATGAAATAAATGATAGATGGAGGATTTTCTAGTATGAATTGTTACTGTCTTAAAAATTATTACTGATATTATAACTGTTTAACTATAACTTGAAGGAAAAAATGCAGTTTGGAATTGTTTTATGTTTATCTCTGTTGTGATATATTTTGTTGTCCTTATTCAGCTAACTCAGGAACTGCTAACCAAATTATGATGATGGCGAACAACCCAGAGGACTGGTTGAATTTCTTGCTTAAGTTAGAGAAAAATAGTGTCCCCCTGAATGATGCTCTTTTAAATAAATTAATTGGTCGTTATAGTCAAGCAATCGAAACACTTCCTCCAGATAAATATGGCCAAAATGAGAGTTTTGCTCGAATTCAAGTGAGATTTGCTGAATTAAAAGCGTAAGTATTAGCATTTTAACTTCGCTTGACTATGTTATATAATATGTAACTATATCGTAAAGAGGGAAAACAAAAGCATATCAAATTAATATTTTTTGGCCAAATACTTTTGCCTTTAGTGTAAATTAGTTTACATGAAAAGGGACTAGTGTAAACTGTTTTCTATGTACATGTTTCAAAAAGACCTACAAATTTTAGACTCTGCCTAAAAAGATTTTTTAAAAATAACTTGTTTTATTTTATACACAGGAGAAATCAAATTCCATGTCTTTTGGAAAATAAAGTGAAGCACTACCAAATTTAGGTAGCTATGTCTTTTTTTGAAAAAAAACCAAAAAGTGTGGACTGACTCTGAGTTTTTATTACAGTATGCAAGAGCCCGATGATGCACGTGACTACTTTCAAATGGCCAGAGCCAACTGCAAAAAGTGTGCTTTTGTGCATATATCTTTTGCACAATTTGAACTGTCTCAAGGTAATCGAAAGGTGTCAAATGCACATTTGAAGTAAAAGAGCATCCTAAACTAACACGTCCTAATATCAAATCATATTCGAAGTGGAAATTTAAGGCAAAAGTTGATCAGATGAGAAAATGGAGGTGCTACTTAAACATAAAAACAATATTCATTATAGTAGCTCTTTTAATTAATGAACATCAGCATGAACATAGTGTTTGTGCTATAAGAGTCAGGATACATCTAAAGAAGAGTTGCTTCTTCACTGAGTATCGTAAAATGAAAGACACATAACTTTTAGAATTTAAACTGTTGTTTCATAGCAGTGAAATGTACATCTTTGGAATACATAAAGTGAGTTAGCTATAAAAAAGAAATTTTAAGCCACTGCAATGTGGCAGTAGCCTTAAGGTCAAAATTATGATTATTTTGAACAGACTTGATAGGCTCTCAGGAAATAGGCAACATCCCTGAAATCTTCTGCTCAGTCTGGTGTGTGTGTGTGTGTTTTGTAGAGGTGGAGGGTATTCCATAGTTTTTATTAGATTTTCAAAGGGAGTCTTAAAATACCAAACTCTCAAATTACTAGTTCTTATCTAAGTTGTTCATTTGCTGTCTAAAAATTCTTTATTATGTGAACTTTTACTGCTGTTCTCAATAAATGTGTGGATTTAACCACTATCAAATATGTTCATGTTCTTTAAAATTTGTAAACCTTGTAAACTGACAGAAACTAGAAATAGAAGTCATCTCTTAATCGTCTTTTTTACCCTGAGTGCCAGTGTGTGGCATTATAGCTCATGGGTCCTGTAATTGTTGATAACACTCCATATTTGCATGATGTGTACATTTAAAATTTATAAATCAAGTACAAAGGATAAATTTTGCATTTCAAAGAAAATTTGTTTGGCAGTCTGTCGTCAGAAAGGTAATTATCGTTCAGTCATTTTGTATTTAGGGAATGGAATAGCTAAGTCTGACAGCTAAAGTTGATCACTTTTTTTTTTTTTTAAACACAAATCCTTTTAGCCAAAGATGTCAACCTTGCCTTGATGACTAAATGTTTCTGTGAATGATATTTCTTACAGTGTGTTCTAAGAGACTGTTGCTCTTAGGACTACTTTAATATCTAGAATTGCCTGTTTCTAACTGCTGTAATTAGATTTTGCTTTTTCTTTTGTATTGCTCTGTTAAACTTCTGTTGCTTCTGAAAGTGAACAATTTATGAAACTCTTTGAATACGTAGTGTTATCAGAAGAGAGTTGATTATATGCATGAGAAATGAGACATTGCTTATTTGCCTATGAAATCTTATGCATAAGTCTTGGGACAATTATCTTTGCTTAAGTGTTCTAAATTTTTTCTTAGGCTCTGATGAAATAAATACGTATTTGGAGTTTGGGCTGAAGAGTGCTTTATAAAATGACAATTATCCTTTTTTGCTTCTTCATAAAGCTGTAGAAAGTGGAGCAGTACCGTTAGAAATGCTGGAAATTGCCATATGTAATTTAAACCTACAAAAGAAGCAGCTGCTTTCAGAGGAGGAAAAGAAGGGTTTATCAGGTAACTATTAACGTGTGCTAATATTTTTCCACGGTAGATAGTACTGCAGAAAGGATTCAGAATAACTTTTTGTAGGACTAATATTTACATGGAATACTCAAAATCTGTTTAGTTGCAAATGGAAATGAGATAAGACTATTAGAAGTAAAAAGATCTTACCTACCTTGTTGATACTTATCTTTTGTGCCTAATCAAAATTTCATTGGTAACATTAAAAACAACTCAATCAAAGCAAGAGAATGGCTTTGTGCTTATAGAAACAGAGTGTGCTGTTTATCCCAGGGAGACAATTATATAAAGAGAATTGAAGAGGTAATTAGAATTGCCTGATAACATCTTCATGTCTTCTTACAGGAGGGCAATTATTTATTATAAATTGATTTTTAAAATTTTCTTACGTGTAAGATTACTTTTTCTTTTTGATGGAAGTGGGGTTTGAACTCAGGGCTTTGCACTTGCAAAGCATGCGCTCTTATGGCTTGAGCCACACCTCCAGCCCTGTAAGATTACTTTTTGTGTACTTTTTATGTCCTTACAAATTTAACCACAGTTTTGAAATTTTTACAGCATCTACAATGTTTACTGCTCAAGACTCATTCTCCAGTTCAGTTGGACATTTACAAAAGTAAGGACATGGGTTGTGATTCCAGAGGACAGGCTACCAAAGCCAGGTTTTTGTATGGGTAAGAAAACTCATCATTTATGTAAGTATGTCTACATAAGAGTTTTTTTGTAAGTGTAACCATGTTTAGCAGTAAATGGAAATACACATGAATATTATTCTTTGAAAAACTGGGTACTTTCTTTTTGTTTAGAGAGAACATACCACCACAAGATGCCGAAATAAGTCATCGAAATCCCCTGAAACAAACTAACAAAACTAAACGGGTGAGTCACTTTCAGTCTGCTTTGATGAAGGTGGTGGTAGTGAAGTCTTTGCATTTCCCAGTTGATTACTCAGTCTTTCAAATCATTTCAGTCGTGCCCATTTGGAAGAGTCCCAGTTAACCTGCTAAATAGCCCAGATTGTCATGTGAAGACAGATGGTTCTGCTGTGCCAACTTTTACAAAAAGGTATGGTTGAGTTTTAATTTTTAAATTTGTGTATATTTAAAGATTGATGGCAGAATGGTTTTAAACTCTTTTTCACTGAGTAACAGTAATTATGATTAAAGTTTTTGGTATTTTTGTTCTTTTTGTTCCAGACTGGCCTGGAACTCACTATCTTCCTGCCTCCAATTCCCAAAGGTTGGGATTATAGGTGTGCACTACCATACCGGGCTGAAGTTACTGAGTTCCTAAATGCTCTCAGGAACAAAAAAATGAATAGAGAAAGTGACTTTTCAGGTTTTTCACTCATTAAAAATATTTATTAAAAAATTAGGAACATGTTAGAGTGAAGCTTAAAAGGCTGTCAACATCCTTGGAGTTAAAACTCCTGATGTTTGGGTATTTCTTCCTATGGGTCACCTCTTGGATAAGATTCTCTTCCTAGTGCATTTGAGAGTCTCCACAGCAGGGTGGAAGGTAAGGGGGAAGAATAGCTATCAGTGGGAAAAAAGGATGAATTCAATCATTTACTTTAGAGTTACGGACTTTAAGAAATGGGAGAGGGATTGGGGTGTACCTCTGATAGAGTGTGTACTTAACATGTGCAAGGTCCTGGGTTCAATCCCCAGCACCAAAAACAGCAACAGATGAGTTAATTAGCTGCTGGGGAAGATGGTGCATGCCTCCACAACCCCAGGTAATAGGGAGGCGGAGCCCTTTGAATCTAGCTACTTAGGGCCAGCCTGGGCAATATAGCAAGACTCCATGTCTTTAAAAAGAGAAAAAGCAAGGCTAGGTAGTGAAACATTGTTCCTCACATACAATATATTTCCCCTCAATTTGGGTGCTTATTCCCTTATAAGAAATAAGAATATGCCAGGCTTGGTGTCTCATGCCTGTAATCCCAGTACTTGGGAGTCTGAGGTAGGATGATCGTGAGTTTGAGGCCAGCCTGGGCTACATAGTGAGACCCTATATTAAAAAGCCAAAAAAGAAAAAAAGAAATGGGGTATAGTTCAGCTAAAGAAGAGAGTTTTTCTTACTTGTTCTTATTTCTAATTATGCGTATATCAATCATTTCACAAATACACCTGAGAAGCACAGCTTATTTTTAACTTGTATCTTCAATAATTAGTCCTGTTATATTTAAAACTTGAATAAATACTAATATTAAAGGGGCATTTTGTTTATGTGTATGTGTGTGTTGGTGTATGAGTGTGTACAATTGTGTGTTTTGTTTTGTCTGTGTAAGTGTGTGTGTGTCCTTGTGAATGTGGGTGTGTGTGAGTGTGTGTATGTACATATGTGTGAGTGTGTGAGGATGAGGGAGTCCTTGTGTTTCGGAGTGTGTATGGGTGTGTGTGTGTGTGTTGGCATCTATGTGTGTTGTTTGTATATGTGTATGTTTGTGAGTGTGTTTGTGTGTGAGTCTATTTTTGAGTATGAGTGAGTATGAATGAGTGTGTGAGTGAGTGTGAGAGTGGGTGCATATGTGATTTTGTTTGTGTGTGAGTGTAAGTGTTGGAGTGTATGTGTGTGGTAGTGTAAGTGTTGTGAATGTGTGTATGTGTGAGTGTATGTGTGTGAGGGTGTGCATGTGTAGGTGAATATATGTGTGAGAACGTGAACTTGTTTTTGTGTGAGGGTGTATGAGTCTCTGAGTGTGTGAAGGTGTGTGTATCTGTGTGTGTGAGTCAATGTGTGTATGTGTGTTTGCATGTAGGTGTGTATGTGTGAGTGTTTATGTGTGGGTTAGTGTGAGAGTGAGTGACTTAGTCTCTGTCAGTGTATTTGTATGTTAGTATGTTGGTAGTGTGTGACTGTCACTCAAGCCACTTGGGAGGTCTTCGGGAGAGGGCAGGGTGGAGAGAGGTGTTTCCTCAGCACCCTTCAGGGGTGGGGACTGTGTCTCTTATACCTGGGTCTTTGAGTTTTGACGGCTGTGTGAGAGGCAGGAGTTCCCAGAAGCTGCATGGGGCCCAGCGTGGGGCAGGCCCTGCTTCCCAGAGGGTCCTGATTATCCTGCTGGAGACCAGCAGCTTCAAGAAAGGAGGTTGAAGTAGGACTCCTTTGTCCTCTTACTGGCTTTGGCTCCCCCACTAAACTGTCTGTGGGAACCTAGCTCAGTGTTTCTGTCTTGTTCTTTTTCCTATCTGAAGTCTTATGTTTTCTTACTTCAAGAAAATAGTTTCACCAAAGTCTTCAGCTATCCTACTCTATAGAAGAAAACATCCCTTTGATGCCCCAAGATGAAAAAAATATATTAAAATTATTTTCTAACCAAGTCTTGAGACAGGCCCTCCCCCACCAGCCTCAGAAACTTAGCATCAGAGTAGACGTGGAGATAGCAGAAGATAAGCATGTTTTCTGATAGAACCTAAGAGTATCTGCGTTAGCTCTACTCTGGAGCTATTTCAGACTTTAGAAGAGGTGGCCCATGAATGCAGAACCAGAGAAACTGGCAGACACTGACGCCTCCCACTCAGAACCCCAGGCTTCAGACAAACTAAAAGTCAGGCGGATGGAGTTCACATCACTATATCTAGATCTTTCTCCACAACATGTCATGCATGCTTTCTAAACGTACTTCCAGGGGTGCTGATGGACTTACCACAAGAGGTAAAAGGGGTACCTATTTCACAAACAGGGACTTTTTTGTTTTGAGGTAGAGTCTTACTGTGTTGTCCAGACTCAACTAGTCCTCCTGCCTTAGCTGGAGTAGGTATATACCACCACATCTGGCCCAAATAGGTGATATTAAAAGAGTAACTCTGCTGGGCTCCAGTGGTTTACACCTGTAACCCTAGCTACTCAGTAGGCAAAGATCCTGAGGATTGTGGTTCAATGCCAGCCCTGGGCAAATAGTTCACAAGACACTATTTTGGAAAAAAAACTCTCACAGAAAAGGGCTCATGGAGTGGCTCAAGCAGGAAGAACACCTACCTAGCAAGTGTGAGGTCCTGAGTTCAAACCCCAGTACTGCCAAAAAAAAGAGTAACTGTCCAGATCCCCAGCCTCTGTGTTCTCTTTCCTCAAAAAAGCTTTACTGTGAAGTTGTCATGCCGGATCTCCTTCCCATTTTATCAGCTCACATAGAACTTGTATTACTTCCAGGGTGCCAAACTAAGAGGGAATTTATAAAACTGAGCCTCATCTGATCAAGGGTCCATGGACTATCCATTCGCCTCAGTAGGAAACATTTCCAATACAGTCATCAAAATGTAAGCGATTGTCCTAATCATATATTTAGTACTACTAATAATTATGGAAATTTGATGTAAAATAAAAAATTAACTTGTAGGGCTTTATGATCACAGGAATTTTTTTTTTGGTAGTACTGGGGTTTGATCTCAGGGTCTACGCTTTGAATCACTCCACCAACCCTTTTTTGTAATGGAGTTTTTCAAGATAGGGTCTCGCAAATTATTTGTCTGGGCTGACATCAAACCATGATCCTTCTGATCTCTGCCTGCTGAGTAGCTAGGATTACAACTTGAGCCACCAGCACCCATTCACAGGAAATTCCCGCCCTCCCCCCCCAGGTGCTGGGGTTTGAACTCAGTGCTTTGTGCTTGCTAAGCAGGCGCTCTACCACTTAAGTTATACCTCCAGCCCAGGAAAATTTTTTTTCATTATTGTACTGGAAGTACATTGCAACATTTACAAAAGTACTGACAAGTTATCATAGTTGAATTCACCCCCTCCTTCATCTTTCCTCCCAGGAAGTTTTTTAAAATGAATTTTATTTATTATTTTGGTAGAACTGGGGTTTTAACTCAGGACTTTGCACTTGAAAAGCAGATGCCCTGTCACTTGAGCTACACCTCCATTCTTTAATTTTGAATTACATCCTTTTTTACAAAGTGTGATACATGATCAATGAAAAAACCTTGGGTTGGGAGGCACAGCTCAAGTGGTAGAGCGCCTGCTTAGCAAGTGCAAGGGCCTGAGTTAAACCCCATCATAAACACAAACAGTGCCCCATTTGATATGATGCCTGACATATTCATCTAGTTTGCACAACCACCAGTTCGCACAGCTGTCTTCAACCAAACTAGCCCCTTAGAGCCCCTCCTCCATCCAGACAGGAGTTGGAGCTTGGGCAAGCTGCTGGCTTCATAGCACTGGAAAGGACATCCCAGCTAATAGGCTTTCCAGGGCCTGAGGTGGACACAATGTTGTAGACACTCACCTTGCTGCTCAGAACCCAGGGAGAACAACCAGACCACTTTGGTGATAAGACACAGATTTGTTTTAATGACTTCCAAGGTTTAGTTTTATCTTCATGGCCTGTGATTTTCTATGGAGTAAAATCATGCTAGAATTTAGGTAGCGGTAGAGGGACTTTGACCAAACTGAGGCAGGCGACTCAAGCAGGCTGTGGACAAGAATAGTCTTGAACAGCAGGCCTAACCCTGAGCTATGAATTAGAACGTGGCTGGAGCTGAGGACACAGAGCTAACAGGAAAGGGCCCAGGCTGCTGTCAGAACACACTTCCACACACCCAAGGCCAGGACCCTGCTGACGTGGCAGCACGCCATCCTGGCCCCTGACTGCCCCCACCTCTCTCCGTGGCTTGCCAGCTGCCATCAGGCCTCTGCCTGTATCTGCCACACCTGTCACTGTCTGTTCTTGTCCGCAGAGTGTTGGGGGATCAGCCCCTCCTCTGCTGCCCAGCAGAGCAGGCAGTTAGTGGGGAGGGGAGGGAACATGGAGCGGGGGCGGTGGTGGGGGCTAGGGCCCAAATCCAGGCACTGCTGGGTTGCCTGGTCAAGGTGCTGCTCTGGGTGGCCTCTGCCTTGCTGTATTTTGGAAGTGAACAGGCTGCCCGCCTCCTGGGCAGCCCCTGCTTACGGCGCCTCTACCATGCCTGGTTGGCAGCTGTGGTCATCTTCGGATCCCTTCTGCAGTTCCATGTCAACTCTCGGACTATCTTCGCTAGCCACGGCAACTTCTTCAACATGTGAGTTCACTCAAAGCCCTGGGAGCAGGCTCCCTGCACTCTGAGAGCCCAGCTCCCTTCTTCGGGCTTCTGTTCTCCTGCCAGTCGGAACACTAAAAATAGGCTAGGTGGTTGAGAAGGTCAGGGGAGGGGGAGGGGAACAGAGCCTGGGGGTACGGGCAAGTCAGGAATAGGGCTGAAGAGGAAATGTGGGCCCTAGAAGGCCAAGTTTAGGCATGAGATGGACTAGTTTAAATGACTGGGGCTGTCAAGGGTGTGGGAAGGAGAAGCGCTGCTGATGTGCAGAACTGGACAGAGTAATCCAGGGTGGAGGATGGGTTGGGGGTCTTAGCAGCCTTTCCTCTTCTCTGCCCACAGAAAGTTTGTGAATTCCGCATGGGGCTGGACCTGCACCTTCCTGGGGGGCTTTGTGTTGCTGGTGGTGTTCCTGGCTACACGGCGCGTGGCAGTGACCGCCAGACACCTGAGCCGACTGGTGGTGGGGGCAGCTTGTGGCGAGGGGCCGGCCAGGCCTTCTTCCTCATTGAGGACCTGACTGGTTCTTGCTTTGAGCCTCTACCCCAGGGCCTGCTGCTCCATGAGCTGCCTGACCGCCGCAGCTGTCTGGCTGCTGGCCACCAGTGGCGGGGCTACACAGTCTCCTCCCACACCTTCCTGCTCACCTTCTGCTGCCTGCTCATGGCCGAAGAAGCAGCAGTGTTCGCCAAGTACCTGGCCCATGGGCTGCCGGCTGGCACACCCCTGCGCCTTGTCTTCCTGCTCAATGTGCTGCTGCTGGGCCTCTGGAACTTCTTGCTGCTCTGTACTGTCGTCTGTTTCCACCAGTACACTCACAAGGTGGTGGGTGCTGCAGTGGGCACCTTTGCTTGGTTCCTCACCTATGGCAGCTGGTATCATCAGCCCTGGTCACCAGGGAGCCCAGGTCATGGGCTCTTCCCCCACCCCCACTCCAGCCGCAAGCATAACTGAAAGAAATAAAGGCACATCAGGCCTGGCTCTGGCTCCTGTCATCATTTATTTGGGGCCTGGAAAGAGTGGGTAGGGTAAGAATAAGGTCTAGTGCCGGGCCACAGTGGTTCACCTCTGTAATCCTACCTACTCAGGAGGCAGAGACCAGGAGGACTGTGGTTTGAAGCCAGCCTAGGCAAATAGTTCTCCAGACCTTATTGAAAAAAAACCATCACAAAAATAGAAGTGGTAGAGTGGCTCAAGGTGAAGGCCTTGAGCTCAAACATCAGTACTGCAAAAAAAAAAAAAAAGAAAAATGAAAAATGATGTTGCTGGCATTCCTTAGCTATCCCTGATGTCATCAACTTTG